TGTAAGATGACACTTGTATTGCTTGAAACCACACCAAAATGCTCTAGCCAAGATACAATCTGTTTACGAACGGTAGTAACATCATCCGAAACAACAACATAACCAACACAGTTTGTTGCCAGCTCTACTAACACCAAAACCTTCATGTTTCCTTCTTTGTCTGAAAACTCAAAACGTTCTCCTTCACGTTTCAAAAAGCAAAAATCAGCTTGAATCTCTGTTTCCAATCCCTGTTTTGTCCGTCGTCGATGCTGAAACACAGAATGTCCACGTGCACATTCGATACATTGCGGATGATGTGGGACGTGGCCTTGTATCCTGTGCTCGGCGAGTTCTTGTTCCGTTGCACGCGACAAAGGATTCAAACCAGGGGAGAAGGTTGATTCACGTTGCTCAGTATCGTGGACTTGTGACAACCGAAAGTGTGACTCCCAAGATGAGGATTCAGCTGGACACAGACGAACCCAAGGACATCCAGCGAAATAAGCTGTTTCTAGCAAAGTCTTATGCGTTGCTGCATGCTCAAGTGAAAAACCATTGGGTTCCTGTTTGAAATACCAACCTGACTTACATAGCAAAGTGGTTGAAATGATGTTGTGTCGGATGTTGCCAACTAAACATTTCAATTGTGCTTTCTTCCATTCATCCTGTTGTTCACTACGTAAGAACATCCAAACTGAAAATTCTGCTTGTCCTGTGATTTCAACAGGGCTGCCGTTTGCTGCACGATACTTACTCTGGTCCATACACGAAGATGGAACGTTGACTCCATACGCGTCACAGCACGACTGCGCAAGCACTGTGGCACTGGCCCCACTGTCCAGCAACCACCACGTCGAATCCTCGTGAATGACTTCCGACAACAAAGGACCAAGAGAAGGCATCCAACGACGGGCTTCGGAAGAAAGCGAAACAGTTTCATTCCAGGGAGTATTGAGGAAGGTTGACACATCAAGATGAACCAACTCAACACGAGCAGAGACTGGTGAAGGTGAGCTTCAATGTATTAATATGCGTTTCATCTCCACTCACAAGTCCATAGTCCTGCCCTACGTCTAGTGCTGCACTGTCGGTCCGTCCTTCATGTCCACAAGAAAAACTCACAGAGCTTGAAACACCGTCTTCAAAAACAAGTGAAAATTCAGCAAAGTGCAAATCGTCACACACAACTGGGGCTAGGATCAAACTTCCAACCGTCTGTTCTTCTGTTGGTTCCTGCCTATACGTCGTTTCGTTTGACACCTGAGGAACCTCTTCCGTGTCCCTACCATTGTACCAGTCATTGGCATCATACCATCTCTCATCACTTGGGCTCTGACTCCACACTTGGGACACCTCCCAACCAGAGTACCAATCATCGTCACCATACCACCATGCATCCAGTGGATCCCATTCATGTGACATCTCATTCAGCTTACCTTTACTCTTTCCTTTCGTTCCAGGTAACCCTTTCTTTCCTTTTCCTTTTTCCCATTGGTTACCTTTGATCACCTCTTTGCCTTTCCCTTTGCTTTTGCCAAAACCTGAACCTTTCGCCTGTTGACAGTTCATGCTCACATGACCATACTTTCCACAGCGAAAACACTTGAGTTTGCTGACATCCACACTGCAGTCTTTCGTTTCGTGTTTCTTTGAACCACACTTAAAACACTTGTGTACGTTTTGAACAGCATCCATGTGTTCCCACGTCCATGCACTATCTGTGGCATCCATACTATACCACTCAACACTTCCATCCAACTGTGCAATTCGTTTCCCGTGTGTATCTTGTGGAAAACTGCTTAACGCTTCAGAAAACAACCTTTGCTGCTCTTCCCAACGTCTTGCGGCTTGTCTATAGGCTCCATACGACTCTCCCGATGCGTGATGCAGTGCATACTGACGCACCGCTTCTGGAAGGCTCCTCATCAGGATCACCAGCAAATCCGGCTCAGGCAATCCAAGCCCTGTCTGATCCACATGAGCCGGCAAAGTACCGATCAACTTCGCAAAACGGGCTGCTTCATAGTCAATGCGTCGGATGGTGTCACTCACTATGGTCGAGGCGGAACTTTCACTTGAGTTCAGCACGAATGACCTGCCTGCCAAAGCGGTCCTCAGTGAAAGTGCTTCCGAACGTGTCCTTAGGCTATACTCTAACGTCAACTGCCTCAAAAGCTCAAATCCGTTTACTCCATGGGTCGTCAGTCCTGTGAAGTGTCCTCCCAAGTCCTGCAAGTTGATACCTTCGAGGAAGGCGTTGATAAGCATCGAGGTTCTGCCATGCTCCACAAACGCTGAACGTAGCACTGCGACCAAACGAGTCGCCCTTGCCTTCTGGTTCTGTGAAAGCGTCTGCCATTGCACTACCGTCGGCCACCGTGACGCATGACTGATTTCATTTGAAAAATCCAAGCTGCCTTGGGCTGACCATGAAATCAATTGTGACAAATAATCACTCCAGCCTAAAATCTCCGCTTCACGTGTCGTCCATTTGCTTGTATCTGGTGTCGGTGCCGGTGCAAGCCACTTCTCTGACTTAGCAAAAACGTCCACCACTCCTGAGTTCTGACCTGTCGCGCTCCCTTGAGCCGGTGGTTGAGAACCACGCAGCGGCAAACTAGGTGACTGGCTGTCCGGAACAAATCCTACCGCACCTCTAACGTTCTCTGCAGGTCGTTCACCAAACATCTCTGGAACCATACGTGCTGATGAAGCCATTCGTTCTCCAAGAATCTGATGCAACACGCGAACCTCATTTGGACCCATCGCTTCTACTAAGTTCACCACTTGGTGCACCTGTGCCGCTTGAGGCGTCAAACCACCTACAAAATTACCCATTCCTGTGCTTGGCAACTGAGCTCTCTGAACGTGACTAGGCCCACAACCAAAACCAGTGACTAAGTCTGGCACAAAACCTGCCTGACCTGACGCGAAACATGCCTGCGGAACACCTGGCATCGTAGGTACTTGTCCTGGCAAGATTCCTGGCGCAAAACCTCCTGCCTGCGTCACACCTGACGCTCCTACACCTTGACCAACGTTCACCTGTTGAAACGCTTGTGTATTTTGTTGTCCGTTAGCTTGCCTTTGCGAGTGCTCACTGTTTCCTTGTCGTGATCCTACCGATCTACTTGTAGGCGTCGATGGGGGAATCGCTGTTGCAATACCACCTCGCTCTGCCTGACCTGGGCTCGCTGACATGGGTTGACCTTCCATGACCTGGATCGAAGCAACCCGCGGTAGCTCACACAGAGCTCCGCTACCATGCGGAAAACCGAAAGGTTACGCCTGCGTCTTACGCGTACCTTACACGTCTACGCCTAGCGATTACGAAGGTTACCCAAAACGCGCGGTCGTTACTACAAAACAACTGACAAGACAAGAACACAAAGTTCCACACACGTGTGTACAAGTGTATGTCGGATGTGTATGCACACAAAGCAAGTCGCAAGCTTCCACGGCTCTCTTTCCTTCTCGCGGGCTTCCCACGACGTGTCGGTGTCGTGACTGTCTTTTCAACTTTACATCCTCTTGAGCCAAATCAAGAGTGCCGTCAGACGAAATCTTTCCGTCCACAAAAACGGTCTTTCGTTTTCATCAAAAGTGACTCAAACGTGGGCTTCCGTAGATGCCATCAAGCATGCAAAAAGGTTATGGTCTTCCAATGACCATACGTGGTGTACTTCGTGGCCTTAAAGTGTGCCAACTATCATGAAAACAACTCGTGTCCAAATCTGGTGCATCTGATGGCTTTTGTATATGCCATCTTACATGTAAAAAGCTGTCCTTGGACATGGTGCAATCAAATGCTCTCTTGTATGCCATTTGGCGTGCAAAGAACTCCATGCCAACCATATGGTGCTAGGATACTTATATCGACTCAATCCACATCGAACGGAGCATACCTTTCCACACTCCCTCTTGGATTGATGTCGCAGATACGTTTTTTTTCATACTAGGCTGGCCTCAGGATCGTCAACGATGTCCAACCAGCACCAAGCTGCCATGTCGTTGTGCCATCATGGTCTCAAAAGACCTTCTTGAACTTCTCACTTCACAAAGGTCCTCACGAAACCTTCCACACGCTTCTGCTGGTCAAACTTCACCCGCAGCAAGAACCTGGCGAAATCCGGCCCTTGCGTAGCCATAGTGGAATCTCCATATTTGTTCATGATGAATCGGCAGTAGCGGTCGGCTTCCTTGTCTCCATGTACCGCTCGTAGCACGAGCTTCTCATAGCTCAACCCTTCTGCCTTGTACTTCTCCATTACCATCTTGGTAGATCCCCATTGTGTTGCTGTCTCGCAATCTTTTGGCAACGCAATTCCTGTATTTTGGGTGTCATACAGGTTGTAGTAGCCAAGCTCCTCATCAAATGGTGCCACCAGCTCAAACTCTTCTGCCTGTGGCTTGTCATCAAGCCTGCGTTTCGAAGCATCCGTCATTCCACCAGCTGACCTTTGTGAGCTGCCTGCTGACTGTTTCACACCTTCCTTCGCCTTCTCCTGTAGGCGAAGCAGTTCTTTCTGCTCTTCCTCCGTAAGAACCATGGCTTCGCTCACGAAGGTGAAGCTAGGACTCAAAAACAAACACAGCAAGGGTCCCCAGGGTCGCCACGGAGAGTACGAAGAGCCGTTACTCACCTACGCTCCTTTGCAAGCTTTTCATGCACCAAAGTGTGTTTGCCTGCTGTGCGCCACGCTTTCAAAGCAAAAACATGCACCAGACAAAAAATAAAACTCAACTGTGGCTTAGCCACACAGGCTATTAGTACTCATACATTGCTTAAAGCAACGGATTCAAACTTCGTTGTGCAAAGAAACTCAAATCATGAAGATGACCATCTTTTCACCGCTTCGTGCTTCGAGTGACTCGTGTTTGAGTGCTTTGTGATTCATGCTTTGAATCTAAGTTCAGTCTCCGGCCAAAATCTAAGGGTAAAACGCTGAGGCTTCAAGGCTCGCTCCAAGCCAAAGTTCAACTTTCAAACTGGTCGATTCCTTGGTCTTCATCCTGTAGGTCCTTCAAACCTCAAAGGTGAAACTCATTCCACACTCATGGACAACGACGTCCGGCCTTGATCGCGTGCAAAATTGCACGAGCCAAACAAGGAGTATACAAAGCCGACTTTGTCCAGTTGACATCATTCATACTGGCATGTATGCTGCAGGTGCAAGTGCCAAATCTCTTACGTAGTGATTCACAAAAACCAAAAGAACTTGATACAAACCTCAACTGTTTTCCAACCTTGTCACCTGCCTTGCTACGTAACATAGTCTGACATAGATGAACAACACACTCAAAAACCAATCCATTATCTTCTAATGTTCGAAGCGTCAGCTCTCGTTTCCAAATGTCGTTTGTCCTAGGTAACTCGAAACTCTTAGAATCTCCGAGAACCAGATACGGCGTGACGTTTGACATGACCGTGACCCACTCTGCTTCTGACTCCTTCGAAAGTTGCGTTCCTTCGTTGTGAAAATATCTGAGGGGAGAGCCTGTCCTGCACGGTGTGGATACGTGCACGTGTATCCACTTTCCAAGCTTGGCCTGCACACCAACCAGTTCCTGAACACGTTCCTGAACGCTCCGTCGTTCCATGTTCGAAGTCACCCCTATGTACTTGATTCCTGATCGTATGCATGCTCGTTTCACGTTCGAGTTCGAAGAACAACAAACCTCAACAACACAGTATTCTGGGTTTTCAGTTGTTCCACTACCCATGAAGAAAAGTTCGTTCAAGTCTTCAAAAGGTCGCTCTATCACTTCAAAACCCAAAGTTGTTCGGTGTCGTTTGAAGTCTGCCGTAGGTAGACACTTCGTGAAGAGATCTGCCACATTTGCTTTTCCTGACTTATGTCTAATTTGGATCTCACCAGCTTCGATCTTAGCTCTGAGCCATAGCAACCTGATCTCAATGTGTCGTGACCTCCTCGGGAGGTCCAAGCTGTTCAACAACTGAATCGCTGCCATGGAATCACTCTCCAAAATGATCGGAAGTAGTTCATCTTCTTCCACGAGGCTCAATCCAAAAAACACGCGGTGGAATAACCGAGCTAGAGACACTGTTTCTTGTGCAATGAGCTGTATTGCATACATCTCTGCTTCACAACTCGACAAGGATGTGCTCTGTTGTTGCTTTGCCATGGTCCTCACCAACCCATTCTCATAAAACACTGCTCCTCCAGTGATGCCCTTCCTTTGATTGAACCGATACGGTCCGTGCGAAGCATCACTGAACGCGTGCACAACAAAAGGGAACAACTCTTTTCCTTCAAAGTGCAATTCTGTTTGTTGACTAGACGGCAAACGAAGAGAAAGATGCATATCTGTAAAAAGAAACCGAAGAAGAGCACAAAGTGCTTGTTCTGTTCCATGCATTGGTTTTGCTTGTTGGCAACCGATCAACGACAAAAACAATTTAAGGTCATGTCGTGTTTGGCTTAGCCACAATAGTTTTCCCAACGCACGTCTAAATCGTTGGTACCCCTCAGGCGACAACAACTGCTGAGCTGCCTGGTCTTTCGTGGTCTTCTCTAAGTGCGTAGATATGTCGGGTACACTAGAGGAACCTTTGTCAATACCATACTCTTTGAACGTGCTTGCCAGATACTCCGGTTTCACCATGATGTGAACGGCGGGCTCAAACGCATGCCTAAAAATATCTCTTCCAATGAACGTCACCTTCCCACCTCCCTCTTGAGATGGCAAGATCGTACCCGTGACCTTGGTCGGTACAACGCGTGCGATTGCATCAACAACCATGGACTCTGCAGCCTCTGTCGAACTGGCCATGATCAAGTCGTCCACATAAGCCAAGAGAATCACTGTCCCAACCGACTCTCCTGACTCGTCATGCACATGACCTTGGAAAATACAAGGCTCCAACTCTGTCGACCAAAGTCCAAGTGCCTTGATCGTTTCCGACAAAAGCTTCATCCAATGTAGAGACGCATCACGGAGCCCATTGAGGGCACGCTTCAACTTGAGAAAAGCAACAGACCCATCAACGTGGCTCACTGACAATGGCATTCTAAGAATCACCAACTGGTCACTTGGAAGAGGGCTGTTCATGAAGGCATGTCCAATGTCAAGTGTCTTCAACCGATAGTCATGCTTTCCAGCTAGCACTAAAACTAAGTGGAGACCTTCTATGGAAGGAGTAGGTGAGGAGTAACCAAGTTTCCGCGCCGATGCCCCACGATTGTAGTCCTTTGCAACAATCCGTGTTCGTACACGTGTCTCGTCCTTGTACGCGCACACCCATCTGGTTGGGACCACGCGAACTTGACTGTTGACTCGCTTCACCGCGTCCACTTCAGGACCATGCATCAAAATGCCTGTTTCGCATCCTTCCAAATTCGTCACTTCCTCTTGCGTGCCAACAAATCCCAAATCCACATTCAACAATTCCAATGAGGAATCGTCGATCACTTCATTGGGTTTCCACACCAGGACTGTTCCACCACCTAATGGCATTGCCACATTCTCATGCTTTCCACTAGTGTCAAACTTGATTGACGTCAACTCACCATCAAAGACCTCCGGAGAGGTGATAGATTGAAACCCAAACTCATGTTCTCGCCCTTCTGAAAGGGGTCTTCCGGAAAGAGAACAAAAGAAATCCAGTGCTTCGGACTCTACATCGGTGTCAAAAAGGATCACGGACATAGAACCTTTTATCTCCTTCTCTAAGTCCTCTATGTCCTTGTCTGCTGGTCTCTTAGCTACACGCTGATACTGCTCTCCAGGTGTTTCCTGAGTCTGTTCCGTTTCATGTTTCTCCAATGCAACGTCGGGTTCAATTGGCAGTGCTTCGGGCGGCGTCTCGGGAAAATATTCAATTGCGGCCGGAACAGATTGTGCTTCATACGCCTGTCTCCTACGTTTACACTCTGCACTGTGTCTACAGCCGGGCGCATCCATTCCCGTCATGCACGACGGACATCTGGGGGTCTTGGGAAAACCCTCTGGTGCAACTTGTTTCTTCAAAGCTGGTTTCAAAAGTGTCGTTTCTGGTTTCAAATGTGTCTTTTTCACCGGTTGCGCCTTCAACTTCCTAATAGAGCCTGCATCTAGACCTTCAACATCTACTAGTCCAGTTTCACCTCTAGATAGTATCGTGTCTGGTACATCCACTGCTTCAGACTCTGAGAAACGCACAGTTTTAGGTTCCTGACCCATGAGCGCCTGACCACTCGTTCCTGCTTCCAACGTCCCTGCAGGACCTTGTGAAGCTCCAGTTGCAAATGACTGCAGCAAACCAGAACACATCTCCAGTTTCCATTGTAGTGGCAAAACAACTTTGACGTTTCTGGCATGAAAACGCATCAACTCATGACCGCCTTCCACACGAACCAAACCTTGAACAAGGGGCCCATGACTCAAACCAACATGTACAAAAGCAGCTTCTACCGATCTAGTCTCACCTGGAGCCTTGGCCTTGACTGCATCTGAAAGCTCTGCCAAAACCGTGCATCCATACAGTGATGAAGTTGGTTTCGAAAGCTGTCTACCACATGACGTTTCCAAAGGGCTCTTCTTTGTTCCTGGCGTAACTGAAAAATGGTTGTGTGACAGTGCCAAGTAGTTCAACACATCTTGCATACTACTTGAGTTGAAGATGACGTCCACACCACGGCCATTGAGGTCGGCCCGTAAGATTGCCAGCCCCTCCTTCAGCCGTCGAACGCATCGCTCTGCACCGCCAATGCTCTGATGTTGCTGTGCACTTGCTCTGCGAATCTGGAAACTGTATTGCGTGGACCCTTTTGCAACCAGTTCTCCTACTGCCTTCTCAGCATCTGTGTGTAAGATGACACTTGTATTGCTTGAAACCACACCAAAATGCTCTAGCCAAGATACAATCTGTTTACGAACGGTAGTAACATCATCCGAAACAACAACATAACCAACACAGTTTGTTGCCAGCTCTACTAACACCAAAACCTTCATGTTTCCTTCTTTGTCTGAAAACTCAAAACGTTCTCCTTCACGTTTCAAAAAGCAAAAATCAGCTTGAATCTCTGTTTCCAATCCCTGTTTTGTCCGTCGTCGATGCTGAAACACAGAATGTCCACGTGCACATTCGATACATTGCGGATGATGTGGGACGTGGCCTTGTATCCTGTGCTCGGCGAGTTCTTGTTCCGTTGCACGCGACAAAGGATTCAAACCAGGGGAGAAGGTTGATTCACGTTGCTCAGTATCGTGGACTTGTGACAACCGAAAGTGTGACTCCCAAGATGAGGATTCAGCTGGACACAGACGAACCCAAGGACATCCAGCGAAATAAGCTGTTTCTAGCAAAGTCTTATGCGTTGCTGCATGCTCAAGTGAAAAACCATTGGGTTCCTGTTTGAAATACCAACCTGACTTACATAGCAAAGTGGTTGAAATGATGTTGTGTCGGATGTTGCCAACTAAACATTTCAATTG